TATTGGATGAAAATTTCCCTTTTAAAGAAAGTCTTCATTTCTACAATAAACCGATATTACTTCAATAATCAGGAAGAAAAGTAAACAAATACATTTTTTAAAACTGTTGAAGCAACTATCAGCCACAGTCTTGTTTATATAAAATAAAACAAACAACTCACACCAAACATTTGGCTGATGTTTTCTGATTAACAGAGAGAACAAAACAAAGTGCACACAAGACTTTGTCCTAAACATTTTCCTACCCCAACTTTTTACTATATGTCTGTAAATGAAGTTAGCAACTATAAGCTAAGAATTAACATTTAAATGTAAGTGTCTTTGAGCAAAGACTCTGATAGTGAAAAGTTGTGCAATATAAGTATCACAGATCCACTCAGAGAGATAGCCTGAAGGACCACAGAAAATACTAACAAATGGCCAGGTAACAGTGGCTGGAGCCTGTAAACTTGTAATTCTCAACAAAAAAACTGGGCTTGGTGACACCTGCCTATCAGCTCAGCTATATGGGAAGCATACAAAGGACAGAAGACATGCTCAAATGGTAGAACACCTGTTAACAATGACATACACACACACACACACACACACACACACACACGTGCACTAACAGTCATCTCTAACTGATGAGATTTCAATGACTTTCTTCATTCTCTTAGAAATAATAGGTATTAGTGTAGTATCTGAAAAATAAAGCTATTTTTGTTTTGAAAACAAACGAACAGCTAGGCACCAGTGGCTCACACCTGTAATCCTAGTTACTCGGGAAACTGAGATCTAAGCATTGCAGTCCAAAGTCAGCCCAGTACAAGAGACTCTTATCTCCAATCAACCACCAAAAAGCCAGACATAGAGTTGCTCAAGCGGCAGAGTGCTAGCCCCAGGACCAGTACGTACACACACACACGTGTACACACACACGTGTACACACACACACACACCACTAAGAAGCCCAGGACCAGTACGAGTACGTACACACACACACACACACACACACACACACCACTAAGAAGCCCTAGAAGCCCAGGCACCAGTGGCTCACACCTGTAATCCTAGCTATTCAGGAGGCTGAGATCTGAGGATCGCAATCTGAAGCCAGCCTGGACAGAACTAAGTCCTCGTGGGACTCTTATCTTCAATTAACCACTCAAAAACTGTAAGTAGCACTGTGGCTCAACTGGTAGAGCACTAACCCTGAGCACAAAGAGGCTCAGAGACAGTGCCCAAGCCCTGAATTCAAGCCCCATGACCAACCAAAGAAACAAACACACACAAAAGAAGGGGAAAAAATGTCTAATCTTAATAGGTTGGTGATACTTTAGTGTCCAAGGCTAATAGGTGAACGCTTTTAGGGAGGTCTGTTACACGGGTTTTATGGAAATCTGGTTATTTGGTCATTTTTTCTTTTGCAAGGAGCTTGGGCTCTACATCCCAAGACTGTCAGCCAAGTGAGAAATGCCTGGGCAGGCCCGGAGGTCTGCAGGCTTACTATGAGGAAGCAATGTAAAGTCTATGAATCAGAGACACAATGTCCAAGGCGAGGGACAAGGAGCTGGCACAGCTGGGTCGAGGCTAGGGTAAAGTCTATTTTAGATCTGATCATGGCTCAGAAGCAACCAGCCCAATCTGAATGTCCTTTTTGAGCTAATGCAGAGAAAAGGAGGGCAGAACAATTGCAAGAGGTGAGCTTTGAGCATTAGATGTCACGTAATCTCATAGTGCTTTCTAGCAGCCAGGCAACCTCTTCAAGGTAAATTACCAATTTTTTTTGGGGGGGGCAGTACTAGGGTTTGAATACAGGGCCTCAAGTTTACTAGGCAAAGTACTATACCATTCTAGCCACACCTCCACCCACTTTTTAATACAGCAAAACAAAATGAAACTCAAGGAGTCAAGCAACTTCATGAAGTATAAAAATATTCTTTTCTTTTCTTTTTTCTCCCCTTCCTTTCTTCGTATTAAGGGGTTTCTTAGGTCCTTACCTTCACATGTGCTTTTACAGAACTATCTGGGGAGCTTCTTAAAAATATACATTGTAAGCCAGGTACAGGTGGCTCATTCCTAAATCCTAGTTACTCAGGGGGCTGAGGTCTGAGGATTGCAGTTCAAAGCCAGCCCTGGGAGGAAAGTTTGTGATAGTCTTATCACCAATTAATCACCAAAAAAGTGGGGGGGGGAGGTCAAAAGCAGATTTGTGGCTCAAATGGCAGAATACTAGCCTCAAGCTGAAAATGCTCAGGGACAGCACCCAGGCCCTGAATTCAAGTCCAGGGCCAGCAAACAAACATACAACAATAAACATTGCTAGGGAGATATACAGAATCAGAAAACACAGGGGCAAAGCTCTGGAATCTAAAATTCCTTCCAGGCGATTGTTTTGGCTGGCCCTCCAATAACTAATGCTAACTGCTGGTCCAGAAGGAAAGCTGTAAGTCACTTTGTGGACTCCTAAGGAGTCCCCAAACGTACTCAAGCTTCTTCCTTTTTTACTTCCATCCTGTCCACATTTCTATTCATCCTTCCTACATGACATTTTCATTGCAGGCTTCACAGCCTCTCAAGCCCTTCACATGACACTAAACATTATTAACATTACTAATCTACCTCCAAATACTGGTAAATTCACCTCCCCGCTCACTTACCAGTGATACTGCTCAGGCTCAGGTCATCATTAATTCCTGTCTGGATTTCTGCAATTGTCTCCTTGCCTCCTGTTTCATCTCTCACAATGTTATCTACCTGGCCACAATAGTCATGTCTCATAAACACAGATGTGATCTCCCTACCAAAGAAATTTTTCAAGACAGTTACTGTACAAAAGTCTTCTTGAAGTTTAAAAACTCTTGGGCCCCACTCCAGATTCACTAACTTAATCTCAGAATAATGCATCAGATGCCTGCGGTTTTATAAGGTGCTGTTCCCTTACACTGTCTGAACATCCATACTTCCCTGTTAGAAAAAGAGTGGGTTTGGCTCACGTGGCTTGCTTTTGATCATTGGGCTTTGCCAGGAGCAGTGCTTAAGATGTGCTTCAGTGGCTGAATGTGCAGTCTTGGGCATTTGCTGCTGCTGAGGAATGATGCCCCAGTACACTTGTTAACTCTTGAAGACTGGAGCTATATAAAGCAGACGAGCCCAATCCAAGATTTGAAGCCTACTGAGAGCCTAGTCTAGGATAGCTACCTTCCACAAACTTTTGCAGAATTATCTGGGGAGCTTTCAAAATATACATGTTCCAATAGAATGTGGCCCATAGAAATGTGAACAAAAAATAATGCTTTGATTATTTACTATAGCTAAGATATGGAACCAACCCATATGCCCCTCAGTAGATGAATGGATCAAGAAAATGTGGTATGTATACACAATAGAATTCTATGCCTCCATCAGAAAGAATGACATGGCCCCATTTGTTAGGAAATGGAAAGGCTTGGAAAAAATTATATTAAGTGAAGTAAGCCAGCCCCAAAGAAACATAGGTCCCATGGTTTCCCTTATTTGTAATATCTAGTATATGTCTGAGTCAAGCAGAAAAGGTCAGATAAGGTGATGTTAGGGAAATGAACCCTAAGATATGTATTCAAATGTTTTTTTCTTTCATGCGATTGTTTCTAACACATTTATAAGATGATTTCTTTGTTGCTTTGTATGTCCCTCCCCCACAGTATAACCCCGCCTTCACTGTATTTGATGTGGGTATGATTTGTAGAGGGGAAGGGGAAAAACAAATTGTTTAACTAGGGGTACAGGTGGACCCATTGCAACAATGAGATGTACAAGTCGTTATGTCGAAAACAAACTTTACAACTTCGGTGGGGGGGGGATTGGGGGGGGCAGGGGGAGGATGGGAAGGGATGGATGGGAAGGGGAAACGGAAGAGGAGGCTACAATGCTTGATAAGAAATGTACTCATTATCTTGCCCATGTAATTGTAATCCCTCTGTACAGTATTTTCACAATAAAAAAATGCTTTGATATTGTAAATCACCAAGTTTTGGAGTAGCTCCTACACAAAATTATTGTAACCACAGGTTACTGAGGCAAATGCCCAGATGACATGAAAACTTCTGGACATAAAGTTAAATTCCCAAGTTTGGTATAAAAGACCTTCTGTGATGTGCTCACTGCCTTCTATGTTCATTCTGTAGCCTCCTCCAAGGCTTGGGCCCCAATGACCTAGATGCATAATGTGATTCTCGACCACCATACCATGCACATGCTATCCTACCATTCTTCCTCTTTTCTCCATATTATTCCAGGAATTCCTCTAGGATTCAAGTGCCGCCACTCGGCACACTGAGATCATAAGTGCTCACTTCTCAGCAACCAGAGAACCAGACAAGAGAGTGGGCTCTGAAATGTGTTGGTCTGTGTCTAGATCCCATCTCTACCACTTACCAAATAGTGTGACTTGGGCATGTTACTGACCCTGTCTCACTACCTTGTTGTTTTGATGCTGGGGATTGAACCCAGGACCTTCTGCATACTATGAAAGTATTCTGCCACTGGGCATTGAGCTACAACCCTAACCCCTATCTCAGAGGTTTGTAGTGATGAGGATAAAGGATTCAGCATGGAGCTGGTGCAACGGAAAAGCTCTAGCATCATGTCTTCTTCCATGAGTCCTTTGGGATCTGGCACAGGGCTACATCCAGAACAGATTTAGTAAATGTTGACCCCGTGAACGTAAGGACCAGCCAGAGGCTTCTGATTTAACTGAACAAATAATTCTCTTTTTTTGGGGGGGCGGGGGGGGTGCGGTTGTGGGGCCTGAACTCTGGGCCTGAGCACTGTTCCTCAGCTCTTCAGCTCAAGGCTAGCACTCTACCACTTGAGCCACAGTGCCACTTCCAGCTTTTTCTGCTTATGTAGTGTTAAGGAATTGAATCCAGGGCCCAATGCATGGAAGGCAAGCACTCTACCACTGAGCCACCTTCCCAGCCCCAACAAGTAATTCTTTAGGTCAGGCACATAAACACTACATCTGTTGGTAACAGTACCTGCTTCTCTATGAGTCTAATGGTATCCTCTGAGGTCTTGTCCTTTGATTTCTTCAGCTTATTAATTGCATTGCTACGTACTCTCCGTAAAGAGTCTTTGGCCTTGTTGGTGTTCTGTTTGGCCAGTTTCACCAGCATTTCCCTGTGTTCCCTGGTTACTCTGATAAAAGAGAAACAAACAAATAAATAATAAAACTACAACCTTCCAGCAAAATCATTCTATACATTAACCTCCAGCCAAGAATTTAACACCATTTTGTCTACCAGCTCAATACTCTGTAACTTTACTTGTCAGATGATGATCTTCACAGTTCCTGGTGAGTTAGCAAAGAAAAGCCAGTAGAAGTACCACTTTATAGTATAAGCCAGAGGCAGAAAGACAAGTATATCATCTTTCTTTCATAAGTAGAATATAGACTTAAAAACAAGCCAACAAACCAACCAACAAAAAGACATAAATATGCAAATGGGGATATCTGAGGGATCCAGGAAGAAAGAGATGGGGAATAAGAGAAGGCAATGGGGTACTGAAGTACATTGTATGTATATTTGAAGTGTAAAAATGAAATCCATTATACTTTAATAAGTTAAGGTCTATTTTTACTACTAGTTTTTCCCTGCTATGAACAAACAGAGGCTAACAACCAAGCATTAGGACTGGCACTTTTGACAAAGGTCCTTACAACCACCACCAGTCGGTTATTATTTTACATTTATTTGATCTTCACGACAATCTAGCAAAGCAGCTCAGCACATTTTTTCTGCCTTCCTTGCTAGATCTTGTACAAATTGAGTGCTATTCACTCTCTACCAAAACCAAAGTTGGGCTCTGAGCAAGCTAGGATGAAAGTGATGGACCTATGACCTGCTCTCCAAGAGCTTAGTTAGGGAGAGAGACAAGAGGCATCTACTAACACTGATAAATACTACAGTAAGACAAATGGGGAAGGACCAGGTGCCTTAGGAAATGCATCTCAGCTCATTCAGCAGGAGCTGCCCAAGTTTAGGAAGAGGGCAGTGAAGGAAGATTTCCCCAGAGAAATGGTGTCTAGATACTAGTATTCACTGCTGTTCACCAGTATTCTTGTTCTCATCCTCTGACATATAGTAGGAATATGTCGCCCCTCTTCTGATTTAGCCTGTACAGTTTGCATTCACCAATGAGAAGTGAGCAGAAGTGATACATGTTACCTCACCTCACTTCCTTTCCCCTGGCCACTGAACTTATGGAGATGAAGCTTCCATCAGCTTGAGACCGAGGGTAAAGATGTGATCAACATGATCTAACAGGCAGCAAGAGAATGAAATAAACAACTGTTCTCTCTAGACTTGGAGAATCAGTCTAAGTTGCCTGTACTGGCAGGGGAAAGAAGATATCCAGGAGAAAAGAGCATTTATAAAGGCTTTATGAGGTAAAAGAAATCATATTTCATTTGCAGATGGGAGCACAGATAACCAAAAAATGAGTGACAAGGTTGAAGTACTTTATATGCACATATGAAAATAGAAATTATTTTAAAAAGAAGAGAGAAAGGGATAAGAGAGTGATAAAGGGAAGGAAGCTGATGGGAAAATTGTATTCGTGTATGGAAATGTCACAGTGAAATCATCCCTGTACAACTAATGTAAGCTAATTTTTAAAATCTTTTTAAAAATGAGTCACAAAAGAAAGGCTGAAAAGTCATATCCTGGAATATCTTTTTTTTCGAAAAACTTTTTTTTAATATAAACATATATTTATTGTAAAAATGTTGTACAAAGGGGTTACAGTTACATAGTAGGGTAATGAGTACATTTCGCAGTGAGCATTGTTACCTCCTCCTTTGTTTTCCCCCACCATCACCTCCCTCCCCACCTTCCCAACTCCTCCCGCTGCCGACACCCCGACATTGTAAAGTTCCTTTTCAACATAGTGTCCTGTACATCTCATCTCACAATGGGTCAACCTGCATCCTCATTTAAGTGTTCCACAATATCCCTTCCCCTCCCCAAATTACAAAAATGTACATACAAGGTGCAGAGCACCAGCATCAAATCCAGTGAAAACAGAGGTTATAATGTGGGGAAATAACATACCAAAGAAACAAAAGAATCACATAGTGCTTTGTAAGTACATTAAAAACACTAGCAAGAAAGAAAAAAACCATTTGTGCCCTGTCGTGGGGTACATTTTGCTTAACATTATCTCATGTGGTCATATGTACATAGCCTTTGACCTTCTTTGCTTGTCCTAGAAATGTACTAGTCATTGCAAACAAGGGAAACCATGGGACTTATGTTTCTTTGGGTCTGGCTTACTTCACTTAATACAATTTTTTCAAAATCTTTCAATTTCCTAACAAATGAGGCAATGTCATTCTTGCTGACAGAGGCATAGAATTCCATTGTATATATATATATATATATATACCACATTTCTTGATCCATTCATCTACCGAGGGGTATTGGGGCTGGTTCCATATCTTAGCTAAGGTAAATAATGCTGCAATTAACATGGTTGTGCTGGTAGCTTTATGTTATGACCTTGCTTGTGATCGTTTGGGTAAAAGCCCAAAAGTGGGATTGCTGGGTCATAGGGAAGCTCTATGTGGAGTCTTTTGAGGAACTTCTATACTGCTTTCCAAAGTAGTTGAACAAGTTTTACACTCCCACCAACAATGCAGTAGTGTTCCCTTCTAGCCACATCCCCTCCAGCATCTGTTATTACTAGATTTCTTGATTATAGCCATTCTAACTAGGGTGAGGTGGAATCTCAACACTGTCTTGATTTGCATTTCTTTTATGACTAGAGAAGTTGAGCAGTTCTTCATATGTCTATTGGCCATTCTTATTTTCTCTTCAGAGAAGTCTCTCTTAAGTCGTTAGCCCATTTATTAATCAGGAAGTTGTTTGAGGATCTGTTCTTGGGGGATTTAGTTTGTTGAGTTCTAAGTATATTTTAGATGAGACCCTTGTCCATTGTATGACTAGTGAAGATCTACTTCCAGTCCGTGGGCTTTCTGCTGATCTTGCTAGCAATGTCCTTTACCTTGCAGAATCTCTGCAGTTTCATGCAATCCCATTTGTACAACCTTTCTTTGATTTGTTGTGTTTCTGGGTCTCTACTAAGAAAATTTCAGCCTGTGCCAAGGAACCTTAGAGTTTCTTCTATTCCTTCCTGTAATGTTTTAGGGTGTCTGCTTTTATTTCGAGGTCTTTGATCCATTTGGAGTTTATTCTGGTGCAGGATGATATATACGGATCTAACTTTAGTTTTCTACAAGTGTTTAACCAATTTTGCCAGCACCATTTACTGAAAAGGCTGTCATTCCTGGAAGATCTTATAAAGGGATCATCTGTTTATAAAGAGGCTATGAAACCCATTATATTGGTGAATAAAATGAAGCCCAAGAAGTTTGGTATCTTATTCAAACTCACACGTAGGCCAAACCCCAGTAGCTATCATCCTACCTATTCATAAGGCTAAGATCTCAAGGATCACAGTTTAAAGCCTGCTCAGGCAAAAAGTCTTTATAATAAACAGCAAAAAGCCAGCTTGAAAGTGTGGTTCAAGTGAACCCAGAGTTTGAACTCAGCAAGGACCTGTGTTCAAATGCTAGGAGGGAAGTCACATTCAGTCAAAGCTAAGGAAGTCCTATCTCAAAAGTCACTGGTTATAGTACAACAAAATTTCTCTACCCTAAAATGGTCACCACTGGCATGTTTCCTGACCCTCAAATCAACATGGTTCTTGTTGAGTAAGGACAATCCCAAGTTCCTGGTCCATGATCAGCCACTGAACATTAGGAGGCATTTACCTGACATTTTTTCTGATAACAAAAATGAGTAAACGAGAATTTTGAGGAAGAAAAAGCTCTGAAGACAAAGTAGACAGCTGTTTTATAAATAACTTCTTCCGAATTCAATTACTAGAAAATGTTCTCCAAATAAAACTGGTTCTCATTACTATTATTATTAAAACCCCTCTACGCCATGTTGAGTACTCAGTCATCCTCACACAAACTCTTCAAAGTAGACCCTCATTTTCCACTGAGGAAACTGAGGCTCTGAATTGTGTGTATGCCTGTGTGACAGCACTGGAATTCAAATCCAAATCATGCTAGACTCCATTCTTTCTACTCCTCCATGTTGCTTACCCCTTGTAACCTATTTCAAATAAATCATGCACTTCTGCTTCCAGGCAGAAAGCTTTTCAAAGTCAGTAATATGAATCTTAGGACTGAAAAGGACAAAACCACCATGTCAGGAGTTTAGGGATTTGGATCAGATCTTGTTACTTTTATGGTTTTTAATTCACTGAACAAAAATCATGCTGACATGTTTAGGTCTCTTTTTTGTTCTGCCAAAGCATATGTCAGTATAAGGAAGGAAAAGGAAAATTAAAACGATCCACTGATTCAAAACCTTAATCCTGTTGAAATACTAGGAGGGGCAGAAAATAAATGAATCAGATTGTAAGAAACTTTTTAAACTTCTCTCAAAAGATCAAATATTTCATACAGAATTTTAAATGGGTATCCCACTATTTAGAAATCCTTAATGAAAATTTTTATCTATTTTTCTTTTCAATGCCTTGTTATATTTGTATTTTAAATGGAAGAAAAAACAGTACTTTTAAAAACACAGACTCAAAAAGTTTTAAAAGGGCACATAAAGAAAAAGAATTTATTATATGTAACTTGGCTTTAATGTATTATTTTGTATTTATTAATGTAAACATATTATTGTATTATTAATACAGTTATTATTTTGACATTGTCAAAAATACCTATTTAGCTGGCTGTGCTGTTACATGCCTGTACTCTCAGCACTAGGGAGACTGAGGCAGAGAGATTCCAAGTTCTAGGAGAGCATTTCCTATCTCAAAAAACCAAAATAGGTTAGGTACTGTGGCTTTTGTCTGAAATCACAGTTCCAGGACAGCCAGGATGTTCATCTCAACCAATAAGCTGGACCTGGTGATCCAGTGAAGCTGAAGGCAAGAAAGTGTTAGGAGGACGTGGCTTAAGTGGCAGACTGCCTGCCTGGTAAGTAAAAGGCCCTGAGCTTAATTCTGAGTACCACCTAAGTAAGTAGAACAAAATAAATAAAATATGTCTCAGAATTCAAACAGTCATCACAAGCAAGGATGCTGGATATGACACAGGGAGTGCTGAGAGG